CACACTAAAAAAATTACACACACTACACCAAAACACATACTAAAAAAATGCACACACTACACCAAAAACACACACTAAAAAAATTACAAACAGTACACCCAAAACACACACTAAAAAAATACACACACTACACCGAAAACACACACTACAAAAAAATTACACATACTACACCGTAAACATGCACTGAAAAAAACACAAACTACACCTTAAACACACATTAGAAAAAAATCATACACTACACCGTAAACACACACTAAAAAAAACACTACACAAAAAACACACTAAAAAGATGCACTACACGAAATAGTTAAGCTAAAACTTATTCCATTAATATATGATTAGTCGATGAAAATCACAAATAATCGTATACAATACACAGATTTTAGGTAAAATTGATGGAATATCCAAAAAAAAAATTCACGATCAAAATCACTAAAAACTGTATACTATAGTACACAAATTTTGGGTAAAATTGATGGAATGTCCAAAAAAAAAATAACACTCAAAATCACTAAAAACTGTATACTATAGTACACAAATTTTAGTTAAAATTGGTGCAACGTCCAAAAAACTATTTCACGGTCAAAATAACCAAAAAGGGTATACTGTACACATATATTGGGTAAAATTAGTGGAACGTCCAAAAAAAATTCACGATCAAAATCACCAAAAACTTTATACTATATTATACAAATTTTGGGTAAAATTGGTGGAACGTCCAAAAAAAGTATTTCACTATCAAAATCACCAAAAAACTGTACACTTAGTACACAAATTTAGGGTAAAATTGGTGGAACGTCCAAAAAAGTATTTCACGATCAAAATCATCAAAACTGTAGATTATATATAGTACACAGATTTTGGGTGAAATTGGTGGAACGTCCAAATAACTATTTCACGATCAGAATCACCAAAATGTGTATGCTATATAATACATAGATTTTGGGTAAAATTGGTGAAACGACCAAAAAACCCTTTTAACGATCAAAATTACAAAAAACTGTACACATATTTTTTGTAAATTTGGTTGAATGTCCAAAAAACTTTTTAACGATCAAAATCACCAAAAAATGTATACTATAGTCCACATATTTTAGTTAAAATTGGTGCAACGTCCAAAAAACTATTTCACAATCAAAATCACCAAAACTACAGATTTTGGGTAAAATTGGTGGAACGACCAAAAAAAAAATTCACGATTAAAATCACCAAAATCTGTATACTTAACATCTAAAAAAAAAATTCACAATCAAAATCACCAAAAACTGTATACTATATAGTCCACATATTTTAGTTAAAATTGGTTCAACGTCCAAAAAACTATTTTACGATCAAAATCACCAAAATTGTGTACCAGTACACAGATTTTAAGTGAAATTGGTAGAACGTCCAAAAAACTATTTCACGATCAAAATCACCAAAATCTGTATGGTATAGTACGTAAATTTTGGGTAAAACTTGTGGAACGACCAAAAAATCTTTTTCGCGATCAAAATCACCATAAACTGCATACTATATAGCACACAAATTTGGGATCAAATTAATGGAACGTCGAAAAAAAAAATCACTATCAAAATCACCAAAAACTATATAGTACATAGATTAAAAAATATCCTAATTAATGGAATTGCCACGTGATAAAACCATATATTAGTAGATTATTTTTAACTAATCACTCCTATAATGAAAGAGTCATTTTCGAAGAAAAATATCGCCAACACGACACAATCATACAAATGAAGAACACGTAGAACGATAGGGCTCACCCAAGAAGAAAAAATAAAAATAAAACAAATAAAATGTACTGCTAGCTGCTCAACAATTACACACAGAATATCTATATCTATTATACAACAGCAGAAATACAGAAATACAGAGAATCTTAGAATGATAAGCTCTAAGTTAATAACATTATGATACATGCGTATAATAACAGGTTACTAGCCATATTTGTCAAGAGAAGCTGCTGCAGCCGAAGAAGAACCAAACAGTACGACGTTCAGTCAGTGTCTTCCTTCCCCAGCTCCATCTCATGTTCTTGGTCCTAATGAAGTTAGTTTCACTTCAATGCATCCATCTAATCTGGATCGAGTTCCTTCAAATTAAACCAAAAATATGAAAATACGAGATGAGCAACTGTTAACACGCAAAACATAACAAAGGCGTTTAAAGAGTTGAAGAAACCTCAATTCTTATTCGTCCACATCCATTCTTGAGACCCCCCCTGTGCACCCTGTGAAATAGAATGTAAGTAGAATGTAACCAAGTAAATAACATAAGGGAAACTAAAAAAACTGGAAAGCAGTAATGGTGAATGGATGTTAAATTTCTCTACTCTAACCTGCTGATATCTAGAAGGATCATTCACCGGAGGTATTTGTGCATAGCCAAGTTCCTGATACCCGAAAAATAAGAGTTAAATAAGCTTTAGTTCAACAAAATCGGGCATTAAATGCATTTACGAACAGTGGTCTCAATCAGAATCAGTTATTCACATCGTTGAACATCAAATGCATCGATTTTAAAAAACAACCAAGGCATGCACGCGCACTATCATTGTAATAGGGTATTTCATATTCATTGGCATACTTTCTAAGCCTAAACACAATACAATATACATCGACACTTGATGGCAAAACAAGCTCAGATAACTCGGTTTAGTGAAGATAAAAATTGGTTTCAAGGAAGTAAATTAAGTTCCCCCGTAAACAACCATAGAAGAAGAACTCATACCTTTGTGCCTTGTTTAGCTGGGAACACAGGAACCTGGTACTGAAAAATATGCAACACATAAGGTAAGAACACCAATCATAGAATTTCACAACTCAAGGATCGATGCTTAAAACAAAAACTGACCGAAGATTGAGAAGGCTGCTGCAATGGCTTGGCCTGGTTATGTAGCTGCGCCCGATGTGGACCCTGAAGCTGAACTTGCATCTGAGGAGCTTGCTGTGTAGATGGCTCTGTTTGGTGAGACTGCACTTGATTATGTTGTTTGGACGGATTCTGCTGCTGTTGCTCATATAGCATCAATTCTTCAGGCTTTTCCCACTGCAATA